ACATGGACGCCCAGAGACACATTGAGTAGAAAGGACTCGGCCCTGGAAGCTAAGTGAGAAAGTCATCTTTCCATCTTGAGTGGTGTCGGGCTGAATAGAGGAGGCTCTGGACCAGGTTTAGCTTCATGGGTGGAGTAGGGATGGGGATGTATGCAAAGAAGGAGCCTCGGCCTTTGCTTTCTAGAGCTCCCAGTCTATTTGAGGAGGCCTGACTTATGCATGCAGAACATTTGGGAAATGGCACAAGACAGCAGCGAACAGCACTGAACTGCACATGATCAGGTGCCAACCTCATTCTCTGCCTTCACTAATCTCAGTCTTAATACCAGATGGGGACCCCAAGAATAGATTCTTCTACCCGACAGATGAAGAGCAAAGATGGAAGCCACGGGGAAAGCTGAGGCTTCCTCAGTTCTGTGCCTGGTCTACAGCGGTAGGAGCAGCAGGTGTCCACCCTCGGTCACAGGCTCAGCCACGTATCAGACACCTACTGAGGGCCTTGTGAGAAGCATCTTACCAACCTCACAGCAGCAGGGTGAGGGACAAGTCCATATAATGTACAAGATGGAAGTAAGGCTCAGAGAAAGAATTCATCATGCCCAGAGTCCCACAGCAAGGGGCGGGATGCATGTAAGTCCAGTTCTACCTGCTTCCGCACTCCAGATGCCTCGTTACTTCTGTTTGTGGTGGGAGGAACTGCCACTGACCTGATGGACAGGAAGATGCGAGGTTGAGGGGAGAATAAGTAGGAAGGAAAGGAGAAGGGGACAAAGGGAAGTGAGGTGAACAACAGAGGAATGAAGTAAGAAAGGGAAGAGAGCAGGAGAGTGGGCAGAGGAAGGGAGGAGAAGGGGCTTGACGTTAAATATGCTCAGACAAGCAGCCACATGTTTCCCTAGGATCCCTATAGACCTCTGACCACCCCACCCCTTCTCCCCATCCCAACAGCCTCCAGGAATCCCCTAACGGAACACTGTTAGAAGCTCACATCTGAAGGTAAGCCTTGTTTCCAGAGCATTCTGAGGGTGTCGTCTGGACATGCTCAGTATGACTTGGACATTAGGGACTTGTCCCTTGCAGTTCCAGCTACATGAAGTCCATAGTCAAGAGCTAAAGTCAGGGGAGTCTCCATCTTTGATTGCAAATGGACACTGTATGCACACCCATCTTTGTGTGCAGGGAGCCTGGAGTGGATCTGCAATTTTTCTGAAAGAGGGAGAGAAGATAGAGAGAGAACCAGTGTTCTACCCTTATGCTTCATTTAAACTGAATTATTATGCTTGAGACTCAGTCTCCGAATGCAGCCAGGCTAGGGGTTATAGCTTTAATTTGATGAATTGGGAGCACACAAAAATTTAGTTCATACTAGGACAGCTGAGAGGGGAGTCAGAGCTGGAAATGGGGTATGAACAGGCGAGCTTATCTGAAGAGTAGAGGGACATGCAGACCTGAGACTTAGGTGAGATCAACAGGATGAAGCTGTCCTGGTAGCCAGTACTTCTAGTCAGAGACTGCAAGACAGGTAACCCCTGCAGTCGGAGTGAATGATGGCCTGCTCCTTTGGCAGCCCCTCCCCTTCCCACATAGTCTGCTGCTGTGCTGCAAGTTCCCAAGGGGCAGGAATGGGGTCTGCTTTTGCCTCCCTTCTCTCTGGTTCCTCATGTTCTTCTCCATGCGTTCCTCAGACTTCCTTGTGAACATCTCCCATGTGATATCTGGTCTTCTGTTGTGCAGGGGTGTGTTTTGTGTGTGTGTATGTGTGTGTGTGTGTGTGTGTGTGTATGTGTATGTGTGTATGCACATGTGCGTGTACTTGGTGCTTATCTGCAGATAATACCTGCTCCTTACAGTAATATCAATAATTATTGGGCTATTGTGAGCATGACTATTTGGTTGAGGGTAGATATGTCGCAAACAGTCAAATGAGTGAGCCAGAGTGAGTGAATGAATCTTCACTTGAGAAAGTGCGCTTCTTCAAGTGGTCAAGAATAATCTAAAAATCGTCCATTTTTATTAATTAATTGATAATTGAGTGTGGTAGTTGGATGAGAATGACCCTCAGAGATTCTTATATTTGATTTCTTGGTCCCTAGTTGGTGGAAGTGTCAAGGTTTAGGTGGTTTGTTTTTGTTGGAGGAGGTGTGTTACATGGGTTGGGCTTCCAGGGTTCAAAAGTTCACACCACTCCCAGTTTGCTCTCTCCCTCTGGTGTTTGTGCATAAGAGTGTAGCTCTCTGCTACCCGTCTGCCTGCCTGCCTCCCTAATGCCCTGCTCCCTGCCTCCCTGCTTCTCTGCCTGCCTCCCTAATGCCCTGCTCCCTGCCTCCCTGCTTCTCTGCCTGCCTCCCTCCCTCTCTGCCTGCCTCTCTCCCTGCTGCTGTGCTCCCTGTCATGAAGGGCATAGACTCCCCCTCTGAAACTCTAAGCAAGTTCCCAGTAAAGCCAGATAGGGAATAAGACAATGAGATCAAGGGCTTTAAGGTGGGAAAAGAAGCCTCAAGTGCCCTGGAAACTACTGCTGGGGCCAGGAAAGGCTCTTTCTGGGTGCCCGGAGAGGCTACTGCTAGGGACAGGGAGAGGTCCCTGCTGGGAGCCAGGAAAGGATTTTGCTGGGGACCAGGAGAGGAATGGAACAAAGGTGGGCTGTGGATTACCTGACAGAGAAAGGGATGAGGAATAGTCTAGGCAGAGGATATGCAAAGGCCCTAGGGCAGGGCCATAGAGGAGCGTGTATAGCTATACTGGAGCGTGTATGGCTAGATTCCCCCAAAGGACGACCAATAGAGAGGGAGAATTAGTGGAAGAAGCCAAGCTACAAAAGGCTCAGGGTGTGACTTCATGTTATTCCCATGGCCCAGAAGCAACAAAATGCAATACCTGTGGAGGAACTTAGCCACGTCTGGCCTGTAAAATGAAGAGAATCTTCTGTATGCTGCTTCTTCAGAGGACTGTATGGGAAAAATGAGAGAGAGCCCTTGGCAATCTCTCAAATTCTGCCTTGCTTATGGGCATTCAGGTCATATGCCTGGCAGAGCCCCAAGGAGCAGTTTGGCATGCTTCCATGTGGCATCCCTGAGAAACTGGCTAAGCCCCCTAGGACAGTACCATGCTCTCCTCAGCAGAGAGGCCCCCTCTGGTCCTTGAGTCACACTAGACCAGTTGTCTTCTGGGAGCCCTCACTCCAGCCCTTCCTCTCTCTCCCCAGAGGATGGGAAAGAGGCAGGAACCAATTCCTATGTCCATCATTATCCAGTACTCCAGGGGAAGTAGCTCCAGCGAGTCTGAAACATCTAGAGGAGAACTGAGGCTTTGAATTGGGTGGAAGCCAGATGTGGCCTTTTCAGCCTAGAATCCTAGTGCCCTGGTCTGCCAACATGAATGACCCTAGAGACTACGAGACAGCCCTGGATAATAAATCCTAACCCTAAGTTCTGGCTGGAGGACTTCAGGCAAGTTCCTCATTAGAAACAAGCCTCAGTTTCTCTCCATGGCGATGGCAGGCCCTACCTAACTAGCCTGTGGGGCTTTTGTGGGTGCCACACGGGTCATGTGATTCCACAGCAAGGGGCATTGCAAACAAAAGGAGCATATAGCTCTGAGTGCACTGTCCCTGCTGTCCGAAATAGGACCCAGTTTGGAATCTGAGCAAGAGTTAAGTGCCGTGGAGGTGAAGCATGCTATTCCAAGTCCCTGGGCCAAGGTGCAGATCATGTGTGGCCCTGAAAGGCAGCTGATGGTCTGGGTGATGGGAGGTAGCTCTCCTTATTGTCATATATGCCTGGAGTCAGACTGTCTTCCGGTATGTGTGAGTTTATGTGGGTGTGAGAGAGAGCCGATGGTTTTTTGCACCATGTACACATGAGGATCTTGGCTGGGGTCTTAGAGATGCACCCCCATGGGTGTATTATGGATTTGGAGTCTGTCTGTGTGCAGCACAGCCATGTCTGTGTAGGCTTGAGGGACCTGTGTCCATATGTTCGGGGTAGTATATATGTGTACGTGTTTATGAAGCCATATGTTGAGGGACGCTGTGAGCTCCAAACACAGCATGTGTCTGTGTGATGCAGAGGAAATGACTGGACACGGATCTGGGGAGCAGCCTGGGTTGGGGAATCTCAGTGCAAATGCACATGGAATTCTCAGGGGAAGTCCAGACAGACAAGACGGACAGGCAGCTGGGCTGGGGAAGAGGAAATTCCTGAGTTTTCTAGAGAGACACACCTGCCATCAGTTGCCACCAGGAGGTGAGGCCGCAGGTCCCCAAATCATCGCCTTTTCATTGGCAATCCGCAGTGAGGCTTGAGGAATCCTGTCACTCGAAGGGGGAGGTCATAGAAGAGAGACTGCTTTCTAAATCCTAGGGCACTAACTCAAGTGCCACCCCGCTGTTCTAACTGCAGGTGAGAGGGCCAACAGAAAGGAAGAGGAGACTTAGAAAAGGGGGAGGGGCAGCAAGGGCCTAAGGGGATCCGCAGCTACTTCCCTCTCCCTATTTCCTGTCACTAGAAATGAGCCCAGGACTTGGAGGGGAATCATCAGATCCCCAACGCCTCCTAGAGAGTTTAGGGGAGCCCTTTTTCACGGGTGGGGTAGACTTTCCTTACCCCAGAAAGGCAAGCAGTGGTTAACTGTGATTTTCTCTCAAGTCAAATGAAATCTCAACGCTCTCCAAGACACACACACACACCCTTCTCACACTCACATACTGGGGGACACCTGCTGACCCCTTCCCAAACTGCACCCACCAGCCTGGTCCCTGACCAGGTCTGTCTGCCCAGGAGGGCATTCCCGGTGTCCCGCACAACCAGGGGCAGTGCAGTGCAGGCAGCAGGACTGGGTCCCTACCCCGCCCCTCCGCGGGTCCCCGCGGCTGCCTCTACCACCCCAATCGCCCGGTGCGCACTCCGGCTCCGCTCCGCGCCAGTCTCTGGCGCCGTTCATTCATGATTGGTACTCGGCCCCTTGAGACCCAGCCCGAGAGCGGGGCGGAGCGGCCGGGCGGCAGCAGGGGCGGGCGGAGCGCGGCTCCCGCACCGCACGCGGCGCGGGCTCGGCAGCCTCGGCCGGGCGGGCACGCCGGCCCCGTGTCCAGCACCAGGCAGGCTTCGGGGCTCAGGACTCTGCCTTCGGCGAGGGCAGAGGTCCGGTGGGGTGCCCGCACTGGGGGGCGCCAGCGAAGGCTCCCGAGAGCCGCTGGCCCTGGGAGTCAATGCATGTGCCCGGCTGAAGACAGCAGCAGCCAGAAGCTCCCGGCACCCCGGCCCCACGCTCTCTGAATACCAAGCTGCAGGCGAGCTGCCCGGGGCTTTTTGCTCTCTTGCTTTTCCTCTCCTCAAATTCAGAGTGGGCAATCCATACCGATTTCTTTTCAGGGAAGGGGAAAGACAGGGCCTGGGGTCCCAAGTCACACACAAGTCTTCGCTGCCATGGGGGCCGTCATGGGCACCTTCTCATCCCTGCAGACCAAACAAAGGCGACCCTCTAAAGGTAAGTTCTCTGTCCTCCGTTTTCTCCCCTGGATAGGTTCGGGGGTACTGGGTGTTGTGTTGGGATGCAACGTCTGTCTCCTTTAGTTCCAAATCCCCTAGCAGTGAAGGTTCTGGACAGCCTCTTGTATCCAAAGGAGTAAGAACCTCGTGGGAGGGTTGGTGTGAACACCCAGGGGCAGCAGTCAGGGGGGCGCTGACCCCCCTCCAGGGGCCGCTGGACCCTTCTATTCTGGGAAATATACGGGAGCAGGACAAGGCGGATTCACAGGTGGAGAAAGCTGCGTTCTCTGGGCTGGGCAGAAATGTTGGGAGGTTCTTGACGCTCCCATGAGGGCTGATGTTGGTGCAACCTCGGGCATCCTGCAAGGGTGCTTATACTCATGAATGCCTCCTTGCGAATGGCGCATGCCAGGTGCTCACCTGAGAGCCTCAGCATGAGGAAAGACAGTGATTTGCCTGTCCACCCTTAAAACCTCTGCAAGCCAAAAGGAATCAGCTACATCTAGGTGGCAGACCCCCCCCCCCAGGCATGGTCCTGGGACATGGGGGAGTCTGCAGGAAAGAACACAACACAGCTAGGATAAGGTGTATGTACTGCTAAGGTCTGAGGACTTGGGGTGGGGGAGGCAGAGATGGAGAAAACTGTGAAAAGGTGACTGGGGAGGTGCGGGGGGCGGGGACAACATGAAGTTCACATATCCTGGGACCTTCCTGTTAGGAGCCTGCTCTACAGCTGCCTTTCTCCAGCTGTGGCATGCCCATCAGCCCTGGGACAGTTGTTAAATGTCCATGTGGAGTTGGGTGACCTTGTTGGGCCAAGGCTCACAATGCAGGCCTCTTTGTCAACAGACAGAAAGTTGCTTATAGGGATAAGAAAGACTGGAAACAATTAAGATAATGATGGCCTTGGTTTGTTTAATGCTCAAATGCCATTGCAGACAGCAGAAGGCTTCTAAACAGTCTCACACTCAAATGTCCAAGTTCTGATACTTAGCATATTGTGACTACAGGTGGGGGCACAGTGCCCACCTTATGCTAGCTAGTGACCAGAGCTGTCTTGGGTGATAGCAGGCCCTGGCTATCACACAGTGAGTCTCCTCGCCCGACCCGTTTCTTCTCATCTTGGTTGGGTTCACAGATAGAGCTACCCAGGAAGAAAGGGTCAGACGAGCTGGCTGAGCATCAGGGAAAGACTACCGCAGGTGCAGACCCCAGGTGATGAGCTGAGGCTGGCATGGCAGCCCAGAATCGGAAGAGGCTTCTGCTTATTTGCTGGCATCTTCACCCTGTAGGGGAGGCACTGATGTTATTCAGCAGCCCAGAGAAAGGCAGGTGTGCAGAATTTGGCCGAAGGTCTACGTGCTCTGAGCTCTGCCTCTCCTGGATCCCAAGGTGCTGCTTCACTGGGATAGTATTCAACACCAAACCCAAGCCTCCTCTCCCATCATGAAGGAGATGATGGACAAGGATATGAGGTCCCACCGGCCATGTAGGGGACTGTAGGGCACAGTTATCTTAGGTTTATTTTTTTTCCTTAAAAAAAAACAATCTACAATGTCTGTATCTCTTAGAGAGGAGGCAGACATCACATTAGAGATCTGTGGCTATAATCCAGTGTAGTAGAAGTGCGAATCTCAGTCCTGCCACTTCAGTCTTGGACCATGGAAAAAATCTCACTTCCTTTAAGTCTCAATTTTCACATACATCAACTGGACGAGAACACTAGCTTCCATGAGAAGCTGAAGCAAGTGGAAGGAGGGAGTGCCTCATCTCACACGCTGTGCTTTCTGAAGCCACTAAGAGAGACTGTAGTAAGAGCAAAAGCATGGACGAGTGGTGGCCAAGGAGAAACATAGAGCCATAGGGCTCCAATGTTATCCTCTACCGATTCCAGTCTCTCAGTCCCAAATCCAGGTCGCCTGGGGTCAGCGCCTGCAGGATTCCAGAGGCCACAGCATTTTCTTCTCTTTCCTAGGAACTTAAGAAAGAGGAGAGTGAATCAACACTCCCTGTGTGTGCTGCCATGGAGTGCCTGGCACCGTGTTTTATTTGAACATTCTCATCTGATCTTTATAAGAGCATCTGTGGCTCCTGGAAAGTCCAGGCTCACTGAGTGGGTCTCCAAGCTAGCCCTTCTCTTCAGAGCAGTAGACATCAGCTTGAACTGTCCACAAGTGCAACCATATACCTGTCCCCCAGGCATTTGTCCCCAGGACAGAGGTCAGTCTCACTGTCCTGTCCATCAGAATGAAAATCAACACAAGACCCTTCTAGGGAAAGAGGCTTAAAAATATGAATATGAACAGGGTTCCACTGGGAGGCTCATGAACAATAATCCTATCTTACCCTGGTCACTTTCTCCTTTAGTGTTTTGATCTCTGCAAATGGGAGGCATTCTCCTGGACATTTTTTTAGGTTCCATTTGGCTCTCAGATTCTAAAGGTTTTATTGTCGGTGCAGTCACTGGAGCCACCGCTCTGATCTCTGAATTGTCGGGCTCAGATCTAATTAGATGCAGTCAGGAGGGAGTGGTGGTGACTTTCAACAGAGGAACCTGTCTCCCTGCTGGGTTCAAATCCAGGCACGGCCACTGACTAGCTGCATGACTAAGCCTTGTTTTCCTCCTCTGTGAATCATGGACAGTAGTGGTTTACCCTTTGAAAATAGCGGTTGGGTTGCATGTCTGTGTGTGTGTTTGGGAGATGATGGAAGGCAAGACCCTGCACAGACCCTGCTACACGATCAGCGGTCAGCATCTTCTAGGTCCTGTTCAATGTGTGGCCGCGCTGCTTAGGCCATCTCAATGCCTAGAATAAGGCTATCCTACAAGCAGTCTTTCAAGCCCTTTCAAGCCCTGTACAGATAAGCAGGACCAGAAACCGGGCACCAGGATGCTGAGCCTCTTCTATGGCCCACAAACCTCTGCACTGTGGCTGATCGTGGAAACACCACAGTTGACTCAGCCACGGCTCCAAGTGCTTAAAGACAACTTGGAAATACATGTGCAACTTTAAAACAGGGTGGCAATCCAGTGTGGTTAGTGCTGGGGGAAAAATCACCTAGCTCGACCTCATGCTCGGGAAACACTCCCCAAAAGCAGCCAAAATCTGTAGTAATTTAAGAGCTTTGCCACTGAAGAAAAATATAGCATTCATTTTCTGTCCTGTTTGGGATTTTGGTGTATCTTTAATTGAAAATGGGAAAAACTTGCCTGGGGGTTTCAGGCCTTGTCCCCAGTCCTAGGTAGAGTTTCTTTTGCCAGCAGTATCAAGAATGCTCCCCTGCCCCCTGCAAAGACTCCACTGATGGTTTGAATGTATGAGCAAGGCTGGCTAGAGTGAGGGGCTAAGCAGAGGACCACGCAGGTGCAGTTACAGTCTCTGTGGGAATCAGGAGACCCCACAAAACACTGGATAAGCCCCATCGACAGAAACTGGCCTGTCTGTAGATAACTCCGCGTTATCTGGTGTTGCTCGGGTGACTGATTTCCAATTCATCCATTCAGGTTCAAGTACAGCATTCAGAACTTTGAGAGTCTAAACTTTAGACTACCGTGGTGCCCACTGAGTCATTGAGAAAAATTCATGACTATCAGATGATTTTTATAGGCAGAGTCAAATACGAGAGTGGTCTTGTGGGTCCTAAATCAGAGATCCCTTTGGAAAATTGTAGAGGCACAGAATTCCTGATGAGCCTGGCCTTGAAGTGGTGGAGGAGGTAGTGTGTTAATTCTAGAGAGCCCTGGAAGGCAGCAATTGGCATGGTTATGAAGAGGCAGTGATCCCAAACCACACCAGCCTGGGCTCAGAAACCATTGCCAGAACACTTTGCCTGGGAAATACCCCTTTTCCTCATCTCTGACAGGGTTGTACCAAGCAATAGGCATGAGTGCGCCCTTGGATCTTCTCATCTCAGTATCTCTCTCCAACATTTAAGTTCTGTAAGACTCTGACCCCCAGTCTCTGTTGCATTTACTAATTCAAATTTCACCCAGATTCCAAGAACTCACTCAGCTGTTTTTATACTCAAGTATCCTTCTCCAGAGCACACAGAGAAGTGACTTCTCCCATCTGAATTCCCAACATTTGAAAGGTGTATGGTCTCCTGACTCACAAGTCATGCTTGCAGTCAGTCGATGGAGGTGCTAACCCTCCCCTCATCACCTCAGTATAGACTCCTTGGGCGCCAGAAATGTGTCTGACTCCTTCTTCACAGTCTCAGGCTTTGCACATAGTAGGTACTCAGCAAATGTTTTCCAGTGGAAGCTACTACCCAGGAGATGGTTGGTCTCTCATTATTTCTAAGAACTGCAGACTTCACAGAAAAAGTTAGCTTACCACTGGAATTCTAGTTGCCAGTCCCTCTGCTTGAATGCATTCCGTTATTTGGTCTGTTGGCTTCGAATTAGCTTTGTCCGTGAAGTGCACGGAATCTGTTCACCATTCAGCAAGCAAGTGCTGAGAACAGTGTTTCCACTCCGCAACTCCTGATATCCATAGAAGGATTGGGCAAAGGGACACGCTTCCTAAATCCAGAGGTGCTTTCAGTCCAGTTCCAGGAACCCGACAAAAACTAAGACCCCTTTGTCTACCTAGAAGGGCTTTGCCCAGTAAATGCTTTATGATTGTGTGAGCAAGTGTGTTCCTTAGCAGGTGAGGGAGTGATGGATTGCTGCACAAATAAGAGACTCAATAAACGAGAAAAATGAATGAAGGAGCAAGTAAATAATCAAATGAGCGGCAGAGGATGATGGAATAAGTATGTGATTAAATGACCGTATCCGTAAAAGAATGAACGCATGCATGGGTGAAGGATGACGTCCTGGGGAAAGTGTAGCAGAGGACTGTCTCTTTATGAAGGACAGCAATGATTGTGCTACATAGTTTCTGTTCCTCAGCATTTGTCTCAGTTCATGGCAGCTGCTAACAACACAAGACCATAGGCTGAGTAATTTAAAGAAAAAAAAGTTTATTTGGGTCCACAGCTCTAAAGATCAGA